GTTTACATGGATTGAGATGGCCAAAAAGTAGCATGATTCTTTGAGCATTTTGAGAGTTTCTTTCAAAGAATTGGTCAATTGTGATTTGTTACACTTGAAGGTGAATGAATAAACATGGCATTTTTTTTAATTGGTGGATTGATGATCCACCATTCAGTAAATAGTTAGTCTGCACAATTGATTTTCTAGCTCTTGGTTGTATTTTCTAATTTGTGATAACTATATCTGAGTACAGAATGCTATAAATGTTGCCATATCATTGTCAAGATAATAATTTATTTGCAATAAATCTGAAATATAACAAATTATAGTACTTGAAAAATTGATGTGCACAAATTTGTTGGGGGGTCCCAAAATATTATTTTTCAGCATGTCGATGATTATGAGGGAGGTCGACACACGAGCAAAAGTGGATCATTTTCTACTTTGCTACCGCTGGGAAACAAAGCATCGATCATGCACGGCATCACTATATATGGAAGCCACGTGGCATCTTTGACTTACAGAAAAACTTTAACCGATTAATTGGTTAGTTTATAGACAACAAGGCATCATGAAGCTCAAGTCTTCAATTCGAAATCATTCATCAATTACGTAATTACTGAATTTATCTCAAATATACTGAAATTCACGCAAAAAAGAAGAAAAAAAAAATCTCGATTTTGTCTAGCAATCTAGTGAATGAGAAAGCGTTGCCATTGATCATGCTGTTAAAATGTCCTATAGTTTTGATTTTATTTTCTAAATCTTGTTTGTTTGGTAATATATACCAAATTTGACGGTTTTTTTCTTAATTCTTACAAACATCATTGGAGATAGAGATCTTTATTTTCGTTATAGTTTGTCCAGAAATAAATATTTTAATGAAGTTAATGTAACTCTTGTTATTCTGTTTAGTCTTGGAAATTAATATTTCATTTTTCCAAAGAAAATTGATGTTTTTACTAGATATCATGTGCGACTCATCCATTTTAGGGGCTCTAATCAAGCCAAAAATTTGGAACCCTTTGACTTTTACTATACTCGGAAATCAAAAACAAATGAGATGAATATGTCGCAGAAAATAAAATCGGTAGAAGAATACAACGTCGTTTCAGTTTCATAAATGCAGCGATTGTTGATTTATTCTTCCGCTTCATTTATTTTGTGGTTACCGGATTTGATTTTTTAATGGACTAAACTTTTGGATTTTGGAAAATATGAGGCCCCTCAGAATTGGGGGCCCTAAGCCCTAACTTAAAAAACCTCTGCATAGAGTCGGTCTGCTACATATTACCTTAGAAAATAGACGTACTCTATAAATAATAAAAGTCTAGTTTTTGTTTACTACAAGTTTTTTAATAATGAAAAATATATCATATATTAGTATAAATATGTTTAATGGTACCAGCCATTCTTCTAAGCTATGGTTTATATCTAAAACTAGAGGTCATATAATTCAGATTTATTTAGATCATTAATTAGTCATTACCTTTATCACTCACAAATTAACTGATCATAATAGATATTGCATGGTAGTTAAAGAAATCTTGTTTAAATGATCAGTATCGTACATATCCTATAAACCCAACACAAACCGTCATTAGAAATCATCTAATAAGTTAATATAAACTCGCTCCCATGGAAATCAAAACCCTCCCAATCTCAAAAGACAAAAAGCCATCAACACTCGCATACTCCATCTGTTCTGGGAACAGCCACTGGTCGTACCACGTGCTCACCGTCACAAACGCCGGCATCTCCGGTTCCTTTTCCAGCACCACCTTCGCCAACGACTTCAACCCTAATACATGCATGTTTTTACCATAAACCTGCGCTGCCATCCACCCCAAGTCCACCACATTCGAAGCCAATCTCAGCCCATCCTCTGCCCGTCCCAGGCCATATTGTCGCACCATTTTTTCGATGCTATCATGGATGCGAACACCAGTGAAGGTGTAGCTAGGGTTATTGAGGAAGTCGATAAACGACTCAGGGATGTATGGTGAGTGGATGATTTGAAAGACGAGACAACGGTGATCGACACATAACTGTAAGATGGCAACACGGTTTTCAACTCCACGCCGGTAGGAAGGGCGCCACTCGACATCCAGGCCGATTACTAGAGGATGGTGGTGACCGTTGTTGTTCTCGGTGGTTGCAGAGATCCAGGAGGTGACAGAGTTAGGATCTTTGGTCACGGTGGTATAGATGTCTTGTTCGTAGAAAGAGATGTTCTTCGTGTGGGTGGTGTGGGACGACCACCGTCGCCTACCATTGATCACCATGGTTGAGAGAGAGAGA